AATGAGCATTACCAGTTGATTATTCCTATCCCTTTTATAAGAAATACTGTATCTTGTAGTCAGCTTATTAAGTTAGTGCTGTAAGTGCTTTTTAGGAATAAGAAGTGCATTAATCTGCAAGTGCACTGTCCTGTGTCTTGGTATTACTATGTTTTGCTAGAGAAGGTCTGGAGACGCAGCTAAAGGTGTTGGGTGAGAAAAGACTGATAGAAACTTGCTGACATGAATTGCTAAAAATAAGACTTCCTAGTTTCCTCGGTAGTATGGATACTTACAGTAGCCCACAAATTCCCTGACATTGCCCATAATCTGCAAATATTGAGCACTTTGAGTCTCTTTCAGGACCTGCTGAGGAGACCTACTGAGGAGACCCTGCATGAGATATGAAGACTCTCAAATAAAGCAGTTTTCCTAAATTGTGTAGAATTTAAAAAAAAAAAAAATCTTAATGCTTCAGTGGTTTATATTTTAATGTTAGCTTGCTACCCTAAAGTAGGAAGCTTTCCACTGACTTTAGTAATTCTTTTTGATCATTCCCATAAAATGGTACAAATAATTTAGAGATTTAAGATTTCTAAGGTGAAAGCAGCTTATATAATTTCATGGATTTTAAGCACAGGAAAAACCCCTACCTTTGAAAGCACTTAGAATGATTACAGTGTATAGGCAAGGTTTGAGTTGAGTTGTTATGTTTGCAGATATTTTTGCCAGTTTCATTTTTTTGCTGAATTCCAGAATAAAAATTAGAAACTTAGATATCAAATTAATTATTTTTCTCTTCTGAAACAGAACTGCAATAACCATGTGAACTAAAGTATGGTAAGACAGGTTTTGGTAAGGAAGGAAGTCACAGAACTTAATGTATTAAACTGCTGTTTGCCAGAGAGACAGAGGGACGAGTTAAAAAGTTTCTCTCTCTCCTAATTTCCTGACACTTTAACTGTTTAACCATTTTCCATGCCAAAACCTTGTATAAAAGCAAACATCTGTTTGTACAGTGCCTTTTGTGTAAGACAGGATAAAGATGGATGGGGAGTCCTGGTTGTGGTTGCCATTTGGAAGTCAGCTTGGAAATCCAGCGTGTTCTAAGGGGAAGGAAATGACTTGCTGCTAATGATCTCCCAAAATGTACCCAGATAGCTGTTTTAAGGTTTAGTGGTCTTGTGGACGTGACAGAAGCTGCATGGTGACGTAAGTAATTAACAGAAGGAGAGGAGGTGTTTTGCACATTAGTAGGTATAATTTTTCTGCTGCCAAACTGTATAAAATTCCAAATACACTTTAGAAAGAGTTCAGTCGTGCTTTAGGTCTACCCCAACAGTATTGTCTTAGTATTGTAAATGAGGTCTTTTGAGAACCAATGGCAGTCTTTTTTTTTTTTTCCCTGCAAAGTGAAGAAGTGGATTAAATTAATCTATCCTGACCTAGTTGGACTCGATGATCCTTATGGGTCCCTTCCAACTTGAGATACTCTGATTCTATGATTTGTCCTTATAGCTAAACTGCTGCCGCTCCACAGGGCAGCTGTGGGTTTGCACCTGCAGTGCAGATACAACCCTGGTGCACTGTGGAATGTGTTTGTTGGCATTTCAACTATTTTGTTATGGGAGAATTACAGATGAATGAAATTTCAACTCGTATTCCAAGATTTCAGTGTGACATCCTCATCCGTTGGCTGCTTTTTTGCTCTTCCTCTCTCATGTCTGCAATCTTTACCAGTTCTAGCTGTGGACATACGTAGAAGTATCTTCAAACTCTCCTTTTTCCGCTGTGGTTGGTATGTCCCATTGAAGGATCAAAAGCAGAAATAACTGAATCCCTGGGAGTATTCAGGCTGTAATAGACTGATATAGAGAAAGGATCAGGAAAGCAGAAGTAAGTCCTTTCCAGTCACCCATTCAGCACGCACCTGACCAAAACCCAATCTAGTTACTAACAAAAAATATGGATTGTTTCATGGGCTGCAAGTAAAATTTTTCCATCACAAAATGCTTTCTGTTCAGAGAAAGCAATTTCCTTAGAACAGTTTCCTCAGATGCACTTTTTTTTTCTCCATTCCTAAGGGATTTGCAATGTGGGTTAGTGGTAAAGTCACTAATACTCTTTCAAAGTTGAGCATTCCCTTGGCTAACAACATTGTTACATGATTTTATGGCATGAAGTTTTCTCTGCTAGGTGGATAGGTACAAGAATCGAGCTTCCCAGCGTGTATGGAGGAAGATGTTCGTGTGTTACAATGAATCGCAGTATGTCTTTTTGGCAAGGAAAGCTCATGATCTCTCATCCTGAATACACTGCCTCTATAATGCAAAAGTGTGGTAACCCCTGGGCTGGAAAAGGAGCCCGAGAGAAGGGGAATGTCTCCCCAGTTAACCGAATAAAACAGACTGCTTTGACATTCTGCAGTTGACTGAATTTCTTTCTCTATTAGATGTTTCTGAACGTAAGCATTTCTTTTTTGCATGTAAATTACATTTTTTTTAGTGTGAACAAAATGGGGCCTTTTTTTATCTTTCCAAGTATTGTTAGGCTTTTTAATGAGAACATTTTTATAGTATAATTCAGCCTTGCTGTTATTGTAGAATAAAAACATTAGCAAATTAGATGAAAATATGCAAAGGGTCTGATTTTCCAGCTTGAGTACTGTTCTAGTTAGCTAGGGAAGTTTTAGGATATTTGTGTGCAATATATTTTACAGCTTATAATAAAAAGTAAAAAATCAAAAATTTTTCCTTTCAAATACTATTTGGAGTTTCAGGATATTATGGTATAGCTACAAATGCAATTTTGTAGTGCCCATGCTAAAACCTTCTATAAAGCTTGTGCTAATAGTGTTCATTAAAGAAGGAAGTAAGCCTACATATCTGAAGGTGCAAAACAAAATTGGCTAATACAATCTAAGTAACAAACTAATTCTAAAAACGTGAAAGCTGTCCTCATCTCACGTTCCTACCTGAGGAAATTTGAACTGTATGTCAAAGATGTAACTACTGTAACATAGGTTTTCCCTCATGGTTGAATGCTGCCCAGCAATGAATATTAATGTCAGCTCTGGCCTCTCAGTGAATCCATTTTCTTGTTTTCTCTTTCTGCTGATTCTTCTACTATGAAAGAGAGAGAAGTCAGATATTCTAAGAAAATTTATGTGTACTGTATAGATTCAGTATTATTTTGGGAGGGGGCATACTCCCACTAGGTAATACAAGGAAAAACATACATGGTAGTCCAATGCCATTTGTAATGGACTGTAAAGGGACTGACTAGGATAACACTTGGATGCTTGGGAAGGTCTGTGTTTTGTAAGGTGTGTAGGATTCAGTGTGGCTAGGAATTACAGTCATATTAGTGGCATAGCGTGCAGATCAGGGAGGATGTAATGGGAACATAGTTCCCTTTTATAGGTCATTTGATGCTGAAGTTTCTTAAAAATCTTTACAGAAAACTTGAAAGCCCTTTCTAAATGAATGTGAGACTCGGGGTGAAAATGCAAATAGTGAAGGTCCATACGTGTAGAATTTGCTTCTCCATTTTTAAGTTTCGTTAGGTTTTGGAACATGAGAATTCATTTCTGTGCCTAAAAGGCGCGACCTCCCCCCCAGCCCCCATTCCTTTTCTTTTTTTGTCCTAGGGAAAACCAACCCCAACTGAGAGGTGATATCTAGGATAGCAAATTATTAAATTATGCAATATGCTACCAAAGGTGCTGAGACGTTATTAATATAAGGGCAGCTTAAGGACAAATTGATGTCTAATCTGCATAAGAAGGTACCACCACCCATACAGGTATAATCACTTTAATAAATGCTTTAATTCCAGTAGGAAAGTGTTGTGGTTTTGTTTTTTGTTTTCTGGTTTGATTCAAACTTCCCTGTAAGTCAGTTAGCCCTCTTGTACAGAATGAAAATATGCTGAGGACTATGCCAACAAAATTGTATTTGTTTCAGATCATATCACTCCTAATGCCAAAAAATTATATCTACTGAATATAATGCATCCTGCAGAGGCTTAGATCTATATAGGGAGCCACAATGACGACATCGAGGTTTTGCACAACTGCAAGAACCAAGTCATATAGATCTGTGTAGATTAAGAATGTATTTCATTACGGAGCATGGCCAGCAATTAGCAGTATGAGAGGGATGCAAGAGATGCTCCCTAACCACAGCTGGAGAATCTGTAGACAAACACTGGAAATGATCAATTTCAACAAAAACGTTTCTTTGATTGAGGTGGAATTTTGTGATAGATGCCTAGATCACACAAAGTAGATAGCCTAAGGTCAGGGGAATGGCAAGGATGTGACTACATCTCCTCCCTAATCGCTCATCTCCTGGTTGCCCTCCTCTGTCATTTTGTCTGTTTCTAGAGAAAGTTTTTGGAAGACTTTTGTATTGTCTGAATGCATAATGTAAAAGTTTGATGAAAACTGAGAAACGTTCATGTGTGGGAGAAGACGACAGTGTCCCACTCACTTCTGTGTGTATCAGCCTGTTCTTGTGGTAATATTTTGGCAATGTACGTACTCTTAAATGCATTGTCTCCTTTTTTCCTCATATTATTTTCAAATTGTCATTCCAATCTTTTCTCTTTTTAATTTACATCTGTCTTTTTTTAGCTCTTTCCACCAGTCTTCTATTTCCTTGTCTGCTAATTTCTTTCCTTTATCTTGTTCTTGCTTTTTTTTTTTTTTTTTTTTCCTTTCAGAAAAATGTGAAACATGAAGTTGTAATACGGACTATAAACTGGTCAATTATTCACCTTTATCTCCACTTAAAAATGTCGTTGTCAGCAGTAATAGGAGGAGGGGAGCTTTTCTCAGGAATGCTGTATACAGTGACAGAAGATGGAGGTCACTAATACTAGGGAAGAGCAGCCTGTAGAAAGGGGCCTGAGAAATAAAAATCTGTACCAGTAGTTATATGTAATTATTGTTATATTTTTTATGCAAAATGTCTTTCCAGTGGCAACAGCAATGACAATTGTTTTTAATTGTCTTTCAGCAACAAGAACAAGATCCGACTAACTTATACATTTCCAATTTGCCACTTTCAATGGATGAGCAGGAGCTTGAGAACATGCTTAAACCGTTTGGGCAGGTTATCTCTACGAGGATACTGCGGGACTCGAGTGGGACAAGCCGTGGTGTTGGCTTTGCAAGGTACTTCAGCGGTGTTAGCCATGCTGGCAGCTTTTTTCCTTTTTTTAATTAAAAAAGCAGGAATAGGATGAAAAAGCTGAAATTATTGAAAATTATCAAGCTTTTAAAGAAAAGGGAGATCTAGATGGAGATACCAGCAGGGTTTTGTTAATTCTTCCTTTGGTAAAGCAAATATGGCTGTGTCTCACCTTGCTTAGATGGCTAAATCTGAATCTATTGCTCTTATTGGACAACTATCTAGAATTAGAGTTCACTCTCCACCGCTTCCTCCTCTTCTCTGTACTTCTCCTTTCTGCTCTGTCCCTGAACCAGTAAGCAAGAGTTATGCAGTGCTTCACAGAAACCTCTGTGACATTTTTGGCTTTTGAGGCTTGAATTTGAGACTGGAGACCATAAGGAAGAACCCCTCACCCCTCCCCCTCTTTTTTTTTTTTTTTTTTTTTTTTTTTTCATTAGTTCCTCTAAGAAAATCAACTCTTCATTGCCCTTTGAACGTCAGCCCTTTGAATTTTCTGGCTCATTAATGTGTTGTCATCTGGGAAAGAAAACATTTTTATTCACTTACAGTAAATCTCACCTTAAAATATTTGACAGCTCAGTCAAATATCTCTCCCAAATCAACAAGAACAAATATTTTCCATAAATTAGTTAGATACCTCCCAAATATTCTGTCCATGTGAATCTACTTTTTCTCTAGTTAATTCAGTTATTTGTTCTGGGGTCTCTTTATTGAAGCCTTTTCTGTGCCTTTCTAATATTTTTCTCTCTCTCATTAACTCCTGCTTTAAACCTAGTATGGCAATCAAAATTTGGAGGCCTTAGATTGGAGATTTCTATTATCAAAAATAGGGGCATGCTTTGAGCAAAGAGTTGGGATGCTCGAAATATGTTGTAAAATCTCTGTCAACAGTCAAATTCTGGTAATTCAGATGTTCAGCCAATATTACAATAGTTCTGTATTTGAACAAATAGCAGAATCTAAAATTAGTGCACAGAAAAGACCTGAACAAATTATATCTCCCGATGAAGCCAAAATTTTTAGGGATTGGTTTCCCTGTGAGTTGGCTATGGGTAGTTCACAGCACTGTGATTTTTTGGTTTTGGTTTTGTTTAATCTGCCCCCCTCCAATTTATTTGCTGGGCAGACTGTCCAGTTTCAAGAAAATACAACAAAGGAACAAAATTAGAAACAATGGGGTGATATTCCTTATTTAAGTGTGCAAACCCAGCAAGTCTGGTTTCTACCAAAATTTCTTCCTGTCCCCTTTAAATAGATCAGTAAGTATTTGTAATATTTTTGGTGTAAATTTAATTGGGCATTTTTATTTATTCATACACTTGTATTTTTTTTATATAAGCATATGCATAAGTATTTGAGTGTGAACTCCGTACAAGTATACACACAATGTATGTATGTGTTTTTGGACAATGTGCAAAGCAATATATATCCAAAAGTTATGTTTACTAATTTTGAAAAATACTGATACTTGCTTAAATGCAGCTTTCACTTTTTGGTACTATGAAGGGCAGAATCCAGTAACACCCAAGCTAAAATTCAATAGGCATTACGAATTTATTCAGTCTTTTCTCCCTAAATTTGCTTACCAACTCTACCCTGAATCAGTGGTGTTCTGGGAATGCTTTTATTCTAATATAGCCGGAAGAGCTTTAGAATTGTACGTAAAAGTCCAAAAGACTTGTGGGTATCCAAAACCTCATTTCTATTGAAGGAGATTAGTTCTAAAGTAAGTGTTTTCTCAATGGGTTCTGTATTACACATTAGATGTTTTATGTATATACATAAATGTGAAATTATTTTTATATACATACTCTTTTGTTCACATATATCTATGATACATAGTTTATAAAATAAGCTGTTGCTGTCATATCTAATCAGAATTTCTCCCCTTCTGCAAGGTAGGTATTGGAACATTTTTTGATAAATATTAGTTAAAGTTAAAATTGTCCAAGAAACATGTAGATATTAAATAAAGATTTTAATTCCTTGCCTTTGGGAGCATTTTATTAGGTTAATAAGGGGTAATATATTTTATCAAGTCCAGACTTGAGTCTGAAACTAAATTGTATTGTTTGTTTCATGTGAGACAAAAAAAAATAGATTTCTTTGATGTAGATCCAACAATCCAGAACTTCTGAAAATTCTCTAGAAGGTATTTTTGAAATCATGAAGAAAACCTCTTGTTCAGTCTGGCAATTTGATGATTTTGCTTGTTGTCTATAACTGTATTTCGTTGGCCTGTGCAGAAGGGCTATCAGAATTTAAAAGGTGCCAAGACTTAGTAATTTTTAGTACTGCTTCTTTGCTGCTGAGGCCATTGGCCTAATTTGTGAATCTGAATTACAGAATTTAATCAACAAATAAAACCAAAATCTCTGTTCAGCATTATCCAGATATCATCTTGCAGACAGCTGCAAAACATATTCTTCTTTTAAAATAAATTTTGTTATACTTGCATGCCTCGGTCATCCATTGCAAGTTAGTCCAAGCTGGCAGTTAGGACCGGCACATCTACATTGCAATGTAAGGATGTAGCTCCAACCTATGGAGCCACTTCCAGACTAGCACTAGCTCACCAGTAATCTACCCAGTCTATTAAGTCTAGTTTTGACAACATAAGTGCACAAACCTGTTCAGGATGCTGGATAAATTCTCAACAGCTGTCACAGCTATTCTGTTATTGGTTCCTGTTTTGAAGGTAACTTGGAGACAATTAAATAAGACAGGTACATCATTTAGTTGGGGTGATACATATAAGCTAAAAGCTGCAAAGGCATTTTGGGTCATGTGGTCAGGCGTATTTATATTTTAGTTTATTACTCTTAAACCATACAGACACTTCAGAATCCTTTATCAGAAGTGGCATTAATATTTATTATGTGTATCATGGACACTAAGGATTCAGTTATGAATGATTGTGGATCAGTCTTTCTACTTCCTTCAAGACAGCATAGGTACTTTGTACTATAGCTGTCCAAGTTACGTTCTGCCTAATTTCTAAGTAAATAAGAGTATTGTATTTGCAGTTTGCCACTGACTTTGGCATCAGAATGCATAAAATGTTAACTGAGTTTAGTTTTAGCTTTCTGAAGTTGTGTGTTCTTAGTAAACATCCTCTTTATCGCTCACACATGGGAAAGCAAGCCACAAAAGTGAAGCGCGAAAAAGCAAGAAATATGCTTAAAAAAAATCACAAACATGGGAATCTGGATGAGTGTTTAATTTATGTAAATTATTCTTTATTTTCTTAGAATGGAGTCAACAGAAAAATGTGAAGCAGTGATTGCTCATTTTAATGGAAAATTCATAAAGACACCAGCAGGAGTTTCTGGTATGTTGCATGTATTTCTAACAAGATGTATGAATGGGTTACTGCTTACATAGTGGAAGCCTGTTACGCTGATTGTTGTATCTGGCTTCTCATTCAGAGGCAGGCTTATTAAAATTAAACTGTGTCTTGTTGCATGACTGTAATACTTGCTCACTTGGAACACAGTATATCACTTTTCTACTGTAAACCTTTTCTAGGAATCTAGTAGTCTTCTCTCCTAGCAGATAGACAAGCAGCTAAGATGCCTTAAGCCAGCTATGCACAAATTTACATCCCACATAATCCCAGTTGAACTCCGGAGACAAGTATGTGTTGTATGTGTATCAGAACAGAATTTGGCTGATTGTTCATGGACAATTTTTTTTTTGAGAGGCAAAAAATGGACTACTTTTGCCATCTGTTGGTGATCTTTTTCAAAGTAAGTTTCAAAAAAAGATTTGATTAGAAAACAATATGTTCCGCAGCAGTGCCTTAATGCCAGGCACCTTCATTCCCTGGGGAGCTGTGACTCTCAAGTCAAAGTAGGCTTTGAGGTTCTTCAGGAAGATGGAAGGAGGTCAGCGAAGAATGCTACTTCTAGAAATATTGCGGAAGGCAAAATGCAGAGAAGCTACATAGTGCAATGTTGTTGACACACCAAGTTCCTCATCAGTTTGCCTGCTTTGTCAGCACTGTTTCTAAGAGACAAAATGTATCTTCCATAAACACTTAAAAATGAGGAAAGGAAATTCAGAGTAGCAGAATAAAATAGAAAAGAGGACGATAAAGGAGGAAAGAATACATGACATTTCAGGCAGCTTTTGGTAACCATTTTATTGAGAATCCCAAGTGGGAATTTTACAAATTACGTTGTTGATGTGTTTGCTGAAGTTACCTTTATCCTGCTGGTGAAATGTTCTCCGCAGCCAGATCCTGACACTGAGGAAGAGGAAAGCAGCCCTCGGCAGGCAGACGAGAATGTGGCTTGTTTAGTAAAGCTACATACGTGCCTCATCCCTGAAAGATTATTCCAGTTTGAGGCAGTCTGCGGTAGGGATGGAAAGCTGCTTCAGAGCACAGGAAACCACTCCCTTCACCAATACTAATCTAATGCAGGGTTTTGACTTCCCTGGCTTGGCTTTTGCAGACCTTTTGCATTGGGATTATTGCCGAGATTATTTAGTTAAAACTTTGTTATACGTAAAGGCTGTAACATTTCCTTTTCTATTTCATATATTTAGCAATCTCTGTTTTATGAGATAGAAAATCCCTTTACGGGCAAGGAGATCACGGAACGATTTTCTCTGAATGCTGATTGTGCTCTGATCCACCCTCCGTGATTAGTTTTATGGTGCTGCTATGGCTTGGACATAATTAAGAGTAAAAAGTGTGGAGAAACCAAGAGTTCAAATTAACATATAGGGGTTTCTTTTCAATTAGAGCCAGGAAAAAAACTGTAACAGAACCTCCTATTAGTGCTTTTTAGTTTGCGTATTTTTATTTTCACTTGCATTATCCTGTTCTCAATGAATGTCAAGCATGTCATTGCTAATCACGCTCTGTCTCTGGTGGGCCATTGCGGAAGCTGGAGTTGGACCCTTACATGATCAGGTTCAACCAGGTAGAAAGAAAAAGTTGCTGCATGGAATTGTAAGAATGATTTCTGCGGTGTGGAGGAATACATTTAGCAGAAAAGTGTGCTTAACTGGAGACAAGAAGTTTGCACAGAACTGGTGATTGTCAGAAAGTGGAAACTAAAGAGGTGTCTCAAGATGTAATCCACCTCACGGACTTTAACTTCCAATGCTTACTTGGCAAAGTAGTCATTTAGGCTCTCTGTCTAAAATAAGTAAAGCAGCACACACCTCCGGAGGCTGATGTATCTTTGCTGTCAGCTGTCCTCGCAGTTACAAAGAGTGTCTAGATGAGTTGCTCAGAAGTAGATAACTCTAAATGTCTGGAAGTCAGTTAAGTTAGATTAGTCGCACCCTTCATGACGCTGAAAAATGCAACAGATAAGTAAGTGCGTAAGGGAGCCGTGAGAACCTTGTTTATTAAAGACTCTCAACTTTGTTGTATAGGGTACAGCCCCAACTCTGCCTTTCCATGCTGGTGCTGTGAAGTTGTATTGCTCCTTGGAAAGGTTTTTATGGAGTTCAAATTCTTCCTGGAGTTCTTCACCACGTACCAAGCATGTGTTCCATAATGCGATCTTATTAGAGGATGCAGCTTATGCATAATAATATGCTGCAGTCTGCCAAAAAGTGGGGCAGAGTCATGGGGCAACCGTGGGGCAACTATGGCCTTGGGATTACCTGCACAGAGAAAAGTGGATGTAGTGGGAAAGCTCTTGGACAAACAAAGGTTGGGAAAATGTTTTGAAATAGATTAGCATCCTTCGGGGTTATAGAGGAGCAAGTTCAAATACATGCAAAACAAAATCGTAGAACTGGAACTATGTTTAAATTAAAACATTGTGTCCTAGAAACTTGGCTAAAATCAGCAAAGGGAGCTGGCTATAAAAACACTGTTATCAGGATGAGGAGGGTAGGAGAGACTGGCCTGTAATGAAATAGGTGTGGGAGGAAGAACATCTGTTCAACAAAAACATGCTTTCATAATGCAGCTTTGTTATTTTAACTAAGTTTAAGTTTAAATGGAAGAATGGGTTAAACACCCATAGGAAGCATAGGTGAAGCCTCTGGAGCATGAGAAGACAGAACAGAAAGCCCCTATGAAGGCCTTCTATGAAGGCCAAGGGTAGCACAGGGCGGTCACAAAAGTGTCAGCTGTAGGATTGAGTGATACGGAACAATCTGAACCCAGATGTAAAAAGCTATTCAGGCTTTATTACCCTGCTCCATATTAGCTTAATGAAATATATTCAGTATTTAGAGTGCCTTGCTTGTCCTCAATGAGGAAGAAGGAAGGTTAGCTCCGAGAGCAATTTCAAATGCACTGCAAGTTGGTATAATCCTAAAACTTCTAGGAGTGGTGTATTAGTTTCACCATTTGTTCTAATTGGGATTTGTACTTTTATTATGTAAGTTATTGTAATAGTTTGTTCTGTTTTATGGACTATGACTTTCTGTCCATTTCTCTCAGGACTTTGATTTTTGTATTTCATTCTCTTCTCAACTGTATGTTTATTACATGATTGCTATAATCTTGAAATAACTTTTGCATTTATTTCTTTTCTTTTTAAAGAATTGTTGTTTTCAGTGAATAATGTGATATTTAAAGCTTTTCTATTCTCTGTGAAGCGTGAACCTCATGACGTGAATTGGAGGAAACAGAGACTAGACTAGTATAAGGAGCCAGGACACAGAAGATGAGTAGTGAGGACAGAGCAGCATACTTAGCCTCCCTCCTCTAAAGATGATATTTAATGTTCGCTGTCTTTTTGTCTTGTGTTGGACCTGTAACAATTGTAGAAATGATCTGCTGGGCAAAATCATGAAAGGCATCTCCTCCCTATCACAGCAGTGTGTAGCTGCATGATGGTTCATGAGAATAATTATATAAATAATTACATAAAGCAGTTGTGCTGTAGAATATGTAAGGTATATGTAAGTCTGAGTGTATTTGTTTCTCTTAGATTTAAAATGAAAAATACAGAAGTTAAGAAGTTACAAAAGTTTTATGCCTGTTGTATAGGCTTTATGGATTATTTGTTACTTCTTTTACTGAAAAATAACTTAGGTGGTTTCATTTTAATGGGCGTAAGGTAGAGCGCATTTTTGCTGAGCAGCCCATACCATTTTTGCTTCAGGAATGGTGGGTGATGGTGATGACCCAAAAATCATAGGTGATCCATGATCCACCTTCCTCTTCCCACTTATGGTAAAGATATTGGTCACGCAGATTCTGCTTTAGGGAGGAAATTGAAAATAGGTGTGGGAGCCCTGCTCCTGCCTGTGCTCTAGACTAGGGAGAGGTCCACCAGGTGTGGTAGACACTACTGTTTGAAATGATTCTGATCATGGACATCTTTCTAGTGCAGAAGAGGAGTGAAAATGGAGCCTTGAAGTAGTTATCTCGTGGCAGTCATTTTGAGCTTTTTCTATTTGCTTACCTTTACAAAGTGTCCAGCACTGCAGATCTCTATATAGTGAATTTAAGCATTTGACCATAAACCCACGTTTCTTAGTTATCTTTTATAGATCCTTTAGAAATAATGCATGAACCACATTCTGAAAACTACTGCTAAAGGGTATCAAGAGGTCACAGTGCTGGTGTTATTCCTGATTGTCACACTGAAGGCAGAGGAACCAAGATTTTACCCATTAGATCAAAGATTAGAAACTTTTACTGCTCTAATTCTCAGAGTTTGTAATTACTGCTTAGCTTTAAGAAGCGACATTGGAATAGAAAAGAAAAATACTACTTAAAACCACTCAAAATATACTGTGACAAATTATTAAACCCTGTGTAAATTATTAAAGAAATGTAACCCTGAGCACTGTGTTTAAGTGAAGATTAGGATGGTGAAGTGTATATATTTCATTTCTGTTTAAACATACAAAGCTATTCAGATCTTGGGTCGCACAACTTCTTTTTTAATTCCCACAGCTTTTGGCAAAAGTTTCTAGCTGTACAGGCTAGATTAAACCATCATTAAAGTGATGTTTTAATGTCAGAATTCATTAGTCCCATATGCTTTGTCACTAGAAAATAAGCAATGAAAGTCACTAAAAGATGCAGTTTAATGGAAAACTGATTAAACTAATAGTATTTTTAAACTATTTTGTTGTATTTTTTTAGTATTTGAAAGCAGGGTTTATTGAAAAGTTGATAAAATTAGCCATGTAAAGTCAAGGGTATAAACACAAAGTCCAACATAAGAACATCAATTTTGTTCTTGCATTTGTAGTGTCACCTGGTACGTATTTGGGTAGACACTGAACAAAGAAAGACTGAATTCTAATGTACACATGTGCACAACATCTGTATGACAAGGAAGTATTTACTCGCTGGACTAATATTGCATTCACATCTTTCTTCTGTAAAAACATAGCTGTAGAGGAGGGTGATTCAGGGCAGGAGGAGATGGTCAGCACTTTTCTCAGCCAGGTTTCACAGCCAGGTTTTAAAGCACAGGAAAGCTCACGGTTACAGAACGCCTCTGTGGCAGCAGCTCAACAGACATCTACAAACCATTGAGAGTGTCTGTTGGTTTTCATTAAGTATCAGTAGAGTGGGCATTTTAAACATGGTGTCTTAGCTGCAGAAGCATGAATCCACTGTAAGTCGTAGCCTTTTGCATCAGCTATCTCTTAGCTGTGAATGCAACTCCGAATATTTATACTATGCCTCTGTCTTGCACATACAGACAAGTTACTGAATGACTAATGATCCCCTTCATCACTGGGACTGCACACTTCCCAACAATTAAACAATAAAAATGACTCTCCCTTCCTTCCTGGACCACAAAAAAGATTGCTTGACTGGTCTGTAGGGCTTGTTAGAGTTTTTTTGTTTATATATATATATATCTATTATATACATGTTTGTATGTGCAAGAGAGAGAGTATCTAAAGTATTTGTGAAAAATATGAGGAAAGGTAAGCTGAAGAAATAAATTTCAGCTTCAATTTTGAAGAGAGTAAAGGCTATGTTCATTCTTCGGTGGGAGGGGGATCAACAGATCGTACTTGGCTCCCATGAAGGTTTATCTCCTTCTCATGACCCTCCCTCTGATGACCATCAGTCATTGTGTTCTTGAAGCAATGAATGCCATAGTACTCGGGTCACATGTATGGAAGAGCAGCCAAAAATTGCAGTTAGACTTTCAATTGCAGCAGTCCCCACTATCAGCGTTCAGATCTTGAACTGGAATCAGGGAAGGCAAATGCTACAGAGCCTTCTCACAGCAGTTGGTGGTATTAAATAGATGGTCTGCTTCGTTTTTTTTAACATGAGTTGGAGCTTTCACAGCATTTGGCTTCATTTATGGGCACAGTAAGGAACAAGAGAAGCTGGAAGGTCAGAAAAACAAGGGGTTCCCATGACCAGATCTGTGTTCAGTAAGATGGAGCACCAACTTCTGGCAAATCACAAATTAATGCCTTTTTAATTTTTTTTTCGTTGCTGCAGGTTTTGGATATTACATATGCAAAATCCAATACACGTGGATAATTCTTCTTTCCTTTTTTCTTCATCTTTAAATTTCAGGACAGTGTTTCAAATGCACCACAGAAGATGTTTCATCATTTAAAATTTAGCTGTTTTCAGTTCTCTACTGACAAAAAAAATCATACTTACTCTTAAAATAGATTTTTGTGGACATTTTATTCAAACAGTTGAGCAGGTTTACTCTGACTTTTTAAAAAAATTATCTTTATCTTGGGACGATGGGAAATGTAAGCACAAATAACACTTTCAGAAAAGTTTTGTGCAATTTACTATGGGGATTTTTAATGAAAGCATAATGCGGCTTTAAATAAAGTATTTGCTACCTGTGAGTGCTATAATACAGAATCACAGGGCTAGAAACCCGTAGGTATTTTCTGATGTCTTTATAAGCTGTTCTCATGCCAGTTTCTTTTGACTTCATCCAAAAATTTATAGTGTGTATTTTGGAAGTCACACATGCTTCCCACAATACTAGATGGCTTGAAATAGTTTATAAGTAGCTGGAGATACTCAGCTTGGGGAAGAGCTTTTTTTCATTTAAGGCAGTTAACTTCAGTACTTGGATCTCAGCTCTCCCTTTTTGATGGACTTTTTTCCCTCACTATGTAAAATCAGAGTCAAAATAATTCCAGACCAGAACCTGACAATTTTACCCATATTGAGTAACACCATCTGAGATTAACTCCTCTTATTTCAACAGAACTGTATGTGGATTAAAATGCTGTGTGATATGACCAAGGTTATTGGGATCTAACTTTTGCAAAGTAACATCAAATTATCCATCAGCATATTGATATAGTACCTTTTTGCCCAAATATGCCAAGACAGAAGTTTTTTCTCATGATAGAAGACCCCAAAGCAAAACGCAATTCTGGGAATGCCAAAAATCCCTTCAGAAATGCAAGATTTTGAAGACAATGTTCTTCAGTTTCTGTCTCCTACTTTAGGGTTTCTATTAATTTCCTTGTGCATTTCCTCCACTGTCCATATGTCTCCAATACTTTTTCCAGTGTCATTAGCCTAACCTTTCCCAGGTTTATTTTATGGTTATAGGATTTTAATTACCATTTTCTGTAAGATAAATAATTTAAAATTAACTCAGTTGTCATGTTTAGTACTAAAGTCTGACTCTCTGATATTAAACTTACTTGACTGCTGAATAACAGCGCAGGGTAGGAGAGGTACGAGTCTCTGACGGATGTGTGGTCAGTGTTGGAGATGAGACAGGGAACCACATACCAGTTCTGTGTCCCAGTCCATCCATCTTTTATAGAGAAGACTGTCAAAAAGTGTATCATGTAGGAAGTGGGTATTTTCCCAGTAGAACCAGAGCTAGTGTTTTAGGTATGCCATCCAAAGCCAGGGGTGACTTGGCCATTAGTGTTAGTTTTGTGCCAATGGTTTAAAAGTCAGGCTCTTTGATAGGTTAAGTCTCTTGAGGTTTTCAATACCTTTGTAAAGGCAGACAGAGTGAAGAGCGCATCAGCACTGGCCATGGTTATACTAATAGATTTTGTTGTATGATATAGATATGCTAATTTTTTTCTTTGGGTTGTGTTTTTGCGGGTTGCCCTCCCACCCCATGTGTTTACTCTACATTTGGAAACTTGCATGTTTTCAGATCCAGCCGTGTCTCATGCAGGTGTTTCCAAACAGTGAACCACTGGAGGAGTGTCATGGTAAAGCTTAGACAGCTCATGTGTCAGGAATTATTGGCAGAGAACTGTTCATATCCAAGTCATAACAGTGCTTCCACCCTGTGATTAGGGAGGGTGTGGTGTGATGTAGCAGAGCTGTGCTTCAGCCATAGGTACTCAGAAACTACTACAGTTTAAGCTAGTAATAGGGAAATCTTTTTCATTGCTTGAATTTTGACATTAGAAATCGAAGTCATGGTCAGGATTATGTTATGCAAAAAAAAAATTAAGAAAAAAAAGTATAGCGATACCATTTCATGACAGTATGCAAAAAACAAGACGAAAGAAAAATCTTGAAGAATTGCTGGTTGTATTGTGTGCTCTTTATAGAGCAGAGATAGAAAGGGAATGGGCAGTTGTGGCATTTTTTCAGTTCAAGGTGGCAAGAGATAAAGGTGCCCACTCCACCCTGCCGGTTAGAGTAAGTGGAGGTACTGTGCCAGCTCTTCTGGCTGTTCTGGATGAGCAGAGCAGTTTAAGTTTTGGGACATTACCGAAACCTTCAAGGGGGGTGGGGGGAATATATTAAAAGCCTTTGGCCAGATTTATTCTCCAGTCTCCTTAGATGTCCCTTCTAAGAGGCAAAGCTCAGAAATTAGATGGCAGTTCTCATTCATCCCCATACCAACAGACACAGACTCAGGATATAGAGACCATGTTTCTTTCCAACAGGTTTTAAAGCAGTAGTTTAAGAGCAGTAGTTTAAAATCAAAGATATAAGGCACTCCAGATGCCCTGTTGTGTGTAGCAGCTATCTTTGTGCTATGCAGAACAATCGTTGATGCTATAGTATGAGTCTGTGTTATTTATCTGTCATATTGGGAATATAACTTAAAAACCATACCTCATTTGGAGTGCTGAACACCTGTGTATGAATGCTACTTCAACTAATATTCCTTCTTTCTTCTCAGTTCCTGCAGAACCTTTATTGTGCAAGTTTGCTGATGGAGGACAGAAAAAGAGACAGAATCAGAATAAATATATACAGAATGGAAGAGCATGGCACAGAGAAGGCGAGGTGAGACTTGTAAGTCCTCCCTTCAAGCTTTAGTGTGGGTGTAAAATAATGAATACTTATGAAAATGATAGGCATTGAGACTTCTTGGCTTGGCTCTTTGGCATATTAAAAATGTGCAAGCAACTCTTACCTGACAGTTTGCAACTCTATAAAATACTTAACCGTGTCTTTCTTAAGAGGGGAAAAAAGGCAACATGCAAAACATTAAATCCTGCCTCATTAAAGTGAACAATAAAATCTCCTTCAACTTGGTCGGGAATATGCCTGAGATATTTCTCATATTATAAAACTACCTGAAACATAACTTTATTTACATGTAGTAAATAATCCCTTGATTTATGCAGCACTGAAATGCACATCACTTTCATAAGATTAAAATAGTATACCAATGCAGTGCAGCATTAATTTTTTTTAGTCACAGCTTTTTTAATCTTTCATGTTCAAGATAATAGTTTCATAGGCTTACCGTGGTTAGCAAGCCTAGACACCTCATTTATATGAGACAAGAAAATTCAAATGTGTCTTCTGAAAAACAGCACTCCCCATTCATTCTTATAGTTAATATATTGCAGGCAACACCCTAACATAATCATCTTCATGCCCTGCCTCTCAAACACACACATGTTCTCTTAGCCAGGTATTTCATAGATTGCATTTTGTTCCTCATGTTAGGAACTTGAAAACTTGCATTCATAGCCAATATTGCTGACTCTCTTCACTATATAATTACTTCCGTAAATTAACCTTTCCCTAACTTACAGTAATAAACTATTTCAATAAAAATTCTCAGTTAAAAATAATACAACTAAAGAAAGAGTAAGAGAAATAATTTACAATCAAAATGAATTTTGTCAACTCTTTCTTTCCACTTTTTTTTTAAAGGCTGGAATGACACTCACGTATGATCCAACCACAGCTGCTTTACAAAATGGGTATGTTAAATAACAGCACACTAAGAAAAAAAAATTTTGCCTTATGAAAGATGAACAGAACTGGCATTTAATAAATATTTCTGCATTTTCTAGATTTTATCCGTCACCCTACAGTATTACAGCAAACAGAATGATCACTCAGACATCTATTACGCCATATATTGCTTCTCCAGTTTCCACATACCAGGTTTGTATTTAGAACTTAGTAGCTAAAATGGTTCATCAGAGCATATGTTTATTTATCAGTTGCTACATCTGGTTTTATGAATTCTCCAGTAATGCTTCATTTTAATGAAGTGGCCTCTTCATGCTGTATAGCATGAAAATGAAGGCCTTAAAAACTAGAAGTGTGTTTGTTTCAGGAAGCACAGCAATTTAATGAGATATGTGGTGTCTTGCGAAACAAAGTCTCTAACTTGTGCTGATGGGTAAGGTATTTGTAGCCACTTCTGCATTTCATGTATGATTTTTCATTTTCTCGTGGTCAAGTTCTTTTAATGTCAATAATATATCTTTAAAATAATTATTCTTTATTCAAAACCTTCTTGATTTAGTTAAATTCTATTTCAAAGATATTTCTCCGTGCTTTTTGAACTTTTCTCCACGTTGTTTCAGTGCAAAAAAAAAAAAAAAGCCCAACAATAATGTGTTACGTAGTTGTACTAAGAAGGCTACAGAAACTTGCTTGACATTAGAGAAGGAAATTTGAAAAAGAGTTCAGAGTTCAAATTTCATTAGCACTCAAATTCAGTGTTTTCATATTAGGAGTAAAGCATTTAATAGTCTAGAACTGTGTTTCTAAACCAAAAGTTACTTTATTTTGAACAATAAAATAAAACATTAATTACACACTTTTTTTTCTTAGAGCCCAGTCCACAGCTTCCTGAAAAGGAATTTTCGTAGGTGTCATCTTGAGTCCCCACTAAGGGATATTGACAAACAATTCAATATGTGGAGAAATGATATGGAACAGTTTTTGTACTTCGATATAAATCTCTTGGGAATGCTCAATTTTAAGACATCGTACATTTCCATTTATAAACAACTTGCATTTAATGCAACGAGTACGGCAGTCTCGGATGTATGCTTTGTAATTACTACTTGAGACATGCCAATTATCCCAGCGTAAGCTAAATAATCAGCTATTTTGGCATTTTACTGTTTAACACATAGACGAAGTAAACGTCAGTGATTCAGGCCATAAATAACCAAAACCAATTAAATTTGGAAAATTCTTACCTCTATATGTCAGAGGTAGGAGAAGAGGCTGTTTGCTTTTTAGTGAGAGAGACGTGCTGAGTTTTCCAGCTTACTATGGGTGAAAATGAATATGGAAGGCTATGTAGAAGGTATATGGAAGGCTATGTAGAAGCTATGTAGAAGGCATATAGAAGGCTAACAGAGGCACTGTGGGCCATTTGGTCAGTATTACCGTTCAAAAATTTCCACGTACCCTCCCATTCCAGGTGAAAAGAATCAGGAAGAATTGTCTAATACTAGTTTGGAGGTCTAGTGCCTTCTTGCGCGAGCAAAGTGTTATGTAGAAGGTAAAACAGTGTACTGCGGGGTAAAGGGCAGCTGGATTAATTTTATATTAATTTCTGAGGTGACTTATGCAACACAATGTTTGCTCTTGGCAGACAGTGCTAGTACTGTATTTTTCAGTATATTTGAATCATTCTGCTGTGTACAGCAATATCTCAAAAATTACAGCAAGTTCTTACCCAGAAAAACAGACCAGTAGAATTAGCTGCTATTCTTTATTAAAATATAAATTATTTACAATATAAGACTCTCAGATATTCAGAATCCAAATAAAAGTTGGAAGTTTGTATGGAAATATATTTCTTAGGAATATAGTATCACTTTTCTGGGCTTATGGAGATAGGCAGACCACAATACTGAATGTTTCCAGAAATGTTGTTACCAGTATTTCAATATACATGGCATGGAGCTTAAATTATTGTGGATGGAGTTATTAACATCATTATGCTTAAAGTGCCACAGTAATAGAAATTGAAAATTAAATTGAAGTATTCTGTACCAGGGAGGAAGGAGGTTCTTGGGCAGAAGAGTTTCACAATTTGAGTATTAGTCACATCTTCATTACTGATCCTTTCTCACTGAAACCTGCAGCATTCTGTCATCTACAGAACAGGACGTATCACAAGAGCATGATTTATTTATTTTTTCTTTGAGGCATGGTATAACCTGTTCCTAGATTTATTCTTACTAAAGGTAAACAAATTTAATAAAGTTTTGGCTAGTGTTTGTTTCTGCAACTCCTGTATACCCAAATGACAGTACTAAGCCAGTTACTATCATAGTTTGAGTAGATTAGCCAAAGTCAGGCTTAGTCAGGCTGTACCAGTATTTTTGCCATTAAGTTTTTGCCTGAGGAAAGGGAGGGTTCAAGTGTCTTCCTTTTTTGAACTCCTGTTTGCTCTTTTTCTGATTGAAAAAGAAAAAAAATATTACCCTGATTTGAAAGTCAGTACCAAAAGGAGGGATGAAATATTTCTGTCTTGCAGAAAATACCTCACCTGGATTTTTTTCAAGTCTGTCTGTCTGCCTGTCCTGTTCACAGGACTCTGGGAATGATGGTAGAGGCGTTTAAGGGGCTTTAAATGTCCGGCAGCAGTGGTGAGTCAGTTCTGCAAGTCAGAATCCTGCCTTATCCTACACACCTGCAGGAGGTGGAGAGGAAACATTTCCATTCTTACCTTTGATATTTCTTGCAGCACACTTTTTCAAAGAGCTGTTGCAACCAGCTCTTTTTAACTAAGATAACCATATAACCTATTAGTTTACCTTTTAATCTTACATTGTCATGCAAAGTTAGGCATCTGTGGTGGGTTGTCCCTGGCTGGATGCCAGGTGCCCACCAAAGCAGTTTTATCACTCCCTCCTCAGCTGGACAGGGGAGAGAAAATATAATGAAAGGTTCATGGTCGAGATAAGGACAGGGAGAGATCACTCACCAATTACTGTCATGGGCAAAACAGACTCGACTTGGGGAATTAGTTTAATTTATTACCAATCAAAGTCAGAGTAGGATAATGAGAAAATAAAAACTAAATCTTAAAAGACCTTCCCACCCACCCCTCCCTTCTTTCCAGGCTCAACTTTACTCCCAATTTTCTCTACCTCCTCCCCTGCAGCGGCGCAAGGGGACAGGGAATGGGGGTTGCAATCAGTTCATCAC